ACATACTAACTTTAAAAAAGAAAGAAAAATACGCTGGAGTTCTGGTATTTTTTGGTTTGATTTGGTTTGGGTTTTTGTCTTTTTGAGACAGGGTCTCACTCTGCAGTTCAGGCTGGCCTTGAGCTCACTCTGTAGCCCAGGCTGGCCTCGACCTTAAGCAGTCCTCCTGCCTCAGCCTCCCAACTGCTGGGATTACAGGCATGCGCCACCACACTTGGCAGGAGATGTTACTCAGTGGTAGAACACTTGAATAGCATGTGTGATGCCCTGGATTCGGTCCCTAGTACTGCAAAAATAAGTAAATAAAATATTGGAATGCCAGTGGTCTAAACAGGATTCCTTGAGAGATTTATTTATTTTTTGTTTTTTTTGTTTTTTTTCCAGTACCAGGAACTGAACTCAAGACCTTGTGCTTGCCAGGCAGGCGCTGTGCTGCTGAGCTAAATCCCCAGCCCTTCCTTGGGAGATTTAAAGAGTTTAATTACTGGTCATGACCATCTTATTTTAGGGTTTTAGAGCCATTACTTAATGAAAACTTGATTTTCCCATATTTTGTCAGTAATAGAGCTGTGGGAAGTGTTTTGGGGGAGATGGAGGTGATGGCTGATTCCTGACCTGGCCTCACTGGACTGGTCCACACTGCTGCTTGTCAGGGGTTCAGGTGGGAAATTTTCCCTCTGGAAAGGCTACTGTTCTCACCCATACCCGCTCAAATGTGATATCACATTGATGGAAGAAAGTCAGGGCCATAGAAGATTCTTTTCGTCAAGTGGTTGGTGGTTTCTTGTTTTGAGACAGGGCCTTGCTAAGTTGCCGAGGCTGGCCTTGAACTCATGATCCCTCTGCCTCAGCCACCAAGCCCAGCTCATAGAGAACTCTTGTTATGATGCTAAATGCACTCAAAAGAAAGGGGAGAGCTGGGCATGGTGGCGCACGCCTGTAACCCCAGAATTTGGGAGACAGAGGCAGGAGGATCATCATGAGTTTGAGGCCAGTTTGAGACATGTAGTGAGTTGAAAGCCAACCTTGCTACACAGCAAGACCCTTTCTCAAGAAAACAAGGAAGGAAGGGAGGGAGGAAAGGCCAGGCGTGATGGTGCACACCTCTAATCCCAGCACTCAGGAGGCTGAGGCAGGAGGATCACTGTGAGTTAGAGACCAGCCTGGACTACAAAGTGAGCTCAAGGCCAGCCTGAACTGCATAGAGAGACCCTGTCTCAAAAAAGGAAGGAAGGAAGGAAGGAAGGAAAGAAAGAGAAGAAGGGAGGAAGGAAAGAAGGGAAGGGAAGAGAAGGATGGGGATGTAGCTCAGTGGTAGAGCATTTGCCTAGCAAGTACAAGGCTTACTGTTTGTTTTGTTTTGTTTTGTTTTTTTCCGGTACGGGAGCCTAACTCATGACGTTGCGCTTGCCAGGCAGGCGCTGAGCCGCTGAGCTAAATCCCCAGCCCCGAGGCTTGGTGTTTGATTCTCAGCACTCCCTACACACAGAAAGAAAGAAAAACAGAGAAGAGGGAAGGAAGGAAGGAGGGAGGGAGGGAGGGAGGGAGGGAGGGAGGGAAGAAGGAAGGAAGGAAGGAAGGAAGGAAGGAAGGAAGGAAGGAAGGAAGGAAGGAAGGAAAGAAAACCTTGTCTCCAGAGGTTGCAGTGACCAGCCTCTGCGCCCTCCTCCCAGACACCCTTCCTTTCCAGCTGGGAGACTGGCTGTTTCCAATTGCTCTGTATCCAGCTCACTGAGCTGAATTTACAGTATATCTACCTTCCTCCCTCGCTGAATGACATTTATGTTGTAAAGCCACTTTCCTTCCAAGATCTGTGAGCCAAACCTGTCATGTGTAACTAACTTCTCTCTCCCTACGCCTTCCCCTCCTGCGATGAGTCTCTCGTTGCCACTGCCTAGTTTGACCCAGTTCCTCCGAGGAGACGCTAAGTCTGCCGCTGGGTCACGTAGGGGAGGAGACACACTGAGGGTGTGCCGTGGGCAGATCTGAGCAAAGAATGAAGCCCCTCTGCTGACCGGCTCCTGCCAGGCTTTCCGGAAACCAGCACTGGGGACAGCAGGGCCTCAGCCCCGTCACCTCCAGGACTACCCGCTGGCGCTGAGACAAGTTGAAGGCAGTTGGGCACTGATTTTGCCCAAGATGCGTCACAGCAGCTGTTAGGCGCAATTAGGAAGGGCTGGGATGTGGCTCGGTGGTCCAGCGCTTGCGGGCACGTTCGCGTGCGCAAGGCCCTGGGTCCCGTCCCAGTGCCGGGGGAGGCGGAGCCGGGGAGGGCTCAGGGCACTGCTATGAAGAAAATGCCGCAGATAACACTTTCCGACCCTTCTGGAAATCGTCCTGGGGCCGTTTGGGCAGGAGGGAGGTGCACTTCTTGAACCGGCACTGTCCGAACGTCATGCTCCGACTGCTGTGCCCACCTAGTGCTCGTCTCCCTCTGGTTCACACAGGCACACACGTGTGTGAGAGTGTACACACGCGCGCACACGCATACGCACACGCAACTGCATTAGCATATTTCTCCTCCTAGAACCAGTTCGACTTGTTCTTTCTTTTTAAGTAGCAAACCCCACTCCCACAGGGATCACACCAAAGGGAAAAAATGCCTCAATTTATGTTAGAACAAGCAGAAAGCAAGGCCATCCACGGGGGCCTTCAATAGACTGGTTTTTTTGTTTGTTTGTTTTTGTCATTTTTGAGGCAGGGTCTCTCTATGCAGTTCAGGCCGGCCTTGAGCTCACTTTGTAGCCCAGGCTGGTCTCGAACTCCCAATGATCCTCCTGCCTCAGCCTCCCGAGTGATGGAATTACAGGCGTGCGCCGCCACGCCTGGCAATAGACTGGCTTTTCCAAGGAAGCAATACAGGGCAATGGCAAAACAGAGACAGGAGACCTGCGCTGTTGTTCTTGTTCCCCTCATACTCTGAGCCCTGAGATAAGAAACTTTGTTGTTTTTTTTTTTTTTGAGACAGGGTCTCACTACATAGTTCATGCAGGCCTTGAACACACTATATAGCCCAGGCTGGCCTCAGACTCACAGCAGCCCTCCTGCTTCAGCCTCCTGAGTTCTGGGACTACAAGTGTGTGCCACCATGCCCGGCTCTCACAGGGTCTTAAGGAGATAATTCATTACAACAAATTACTACTTTTCAACCTCATTGGCCACAATCCTGCCATTGTACAAAGCTGCTACTGCTTTTAATTGTTCTCTGTTGTTTTGTTTTGTTTTGTTTTGTTTACAGCCTCCTCCTGCATGTTAGGCAAGTGCTCTACCACTAAGCCACTGCCCCAGCCTTATTCTTAGTTTTGACTGTTTAGTACTTTACTGCCAGGGACTGGGGACTTAGCTCAGCGGCACAGTGCCTGCCTGGCAAGCGTGAGATCGTGAGTTCGATTCCTGGTACCGGAAAAAAAAAAACACTTTACTGCCAATTACTGACTTGCCTCCGCTCAAATAGACTAACCAGGGCTGGGGATATAGCTCAGCAGCACAGCACCCGCCTGAGTTCGATTCCCGGTAACCCCCCCAAATCAATAGACTAACCCGAATTTAAAAAGCTCTCCACCCCCCCATATATATGTAAATATATATTTATTTTTTCAAATAAGGATAGCAAAGTTAACTGACAAGAGGGTGTGGAAAGCCACTTAAAAATTTTTTTAAGGCAACCAGAGGTGTAGCTCACTGGCAGAACCTGTGCTTAGCGTGTGAGGCCCAGTCAGTACCCAGAACATGCATGCACATACATACGTCGGTTACATCCTCACCGGAGAACTTATCGCTGAACCTGGGGTGGACTTCTTGCCTTTATCTTCCACTTTCCTTGTCTCTGCCCTCTCCTGCTACACACCCTAAGAAAGAACACTTGATGACTGAATTCAGCAGCCTCTTCCTACCCTTCCTTAACTGAGGTCCGGCACCTTCTGCAGGTGGCCGCTATTTGCCCCTGAGGGTTGAGATAGAAGTCACCTCCTACAGCACTGGCTCCACTGCTGGGAAAAGGTACACTCTCAAAAACCCAGGCCCACTCTGGACTAAGGTAGTATTCCCATCTCAGAGGCGGGGAGGCCTGAAGAAGTTGTGGGTTGGGGCGGGGATATAGCTCGGTGGTACAAGCACCTGCCTGGCAAGTGCAAGGTCCTGAGTTCTATTCCCCGTACCAAAAAAAAAAAGAATGATGACCTTACTTTAAAACCTATTTCAGCTGGGTGTGGTGGCACATACCTGTAATTCCAGCACTCAGGAGGCTGAGGCAGGAAGATCATTGGGAGTTCGAGGCCAGCCTGGGCTACAAAGTGAGCTCAAGGCCAGCCTGAACTGCATAGCGAGACTGTCTCAAAAAGACAAAAAAGTAAACATAAAATTAAATTAAATTTAAAGAAAAGAAGTTGTGGGTTGGAGGAAATCCTGTTTGGTTGGTTGGTGGTTGATATTTTGAGACAGGTTTCACTGTGTGGTTCACACTGGCCTTGAACTCATTATGTAGCCCAGGCTGGCCCAGGAGTTGAGGTGATCCTCCTGCCTCAGCCTCTTGAGTGCTGGGATTACAGCAATGAGACACCATGCCTAGCAAGAATGTTGTAATTCACAGTATGTTGCCTTTCTCACCAAGATAAAGTAAGAAGTTTTCCTTCTTTCAGATAATATAAAACTGTGCTTGGGACTGGGGATATAGCTCAGCAGCACAGCGCTTGCCTGGCAGGCATGAGGTCCTGAATTCGATTTCTGGTACAAAGACAAAAAACCACAGGGCCATGTGTGGTGGTGAATGCCTGTAATCCCAGCACTCAGGAAGCCAAGGCAGGAGGAACGCCACGAGTTTGAGGCCAGCCTGGCCTACATAGTGAGTTCAAGGCCAGCCTGAAATACATATAGAGATCCTCTTTAAAAAAAAAAAAAGACCATGCTTAAGTGATCCTTTAGCTTTCCTGCTTACTCCATGAGAAAAACCTCATCCCTTCGCAGGTCTGGCTTCTAACAGCTACTGTTTTCTCTTTCAACAGATCTCTTTAAGATGGACATAGAAGAATGTAATGGCCGCTCCTACTTGTCTGGTACGCCTCTGTGTGTCCCGTTCGGATGAGTCGGGGGTACATGCCGTGCATGGCAGGGCAGAGACCCTCCAGCCCATGCACACGGCCTCTGTGTGACTAGCCGTTGGTCAGGGAGCTGACACTTATACTTGGTAGTAACGTGTAATCATTGTGCGATTTTCTTCTCCCCAGACTTCCTGTGGGGTAAGGGGAGAGGGACAGGAATAGCAGTGGAGCGGCTGCTATTAGAAGGATGATTTGAGGCACATGGATGGAAAGAGCGTGTGGTTCCTTCTGCCCTCTGAGGTGACCAGCCAAGCGTGGCGTTCTGTCCCAGGTAGAAGGTGGAGCAGCATTTCACACGTCAGAGGCCTTCAGGGGCCGCATGGTTATATGAATGAACAAAGCAGACTAGGACAGTCAGCAAAAGAGCACGGAAGGGACCGTCAGGAACTGGAAAATACGCATCCCGCCTCAAGGGATGACAGCTATTCAGTGTCCACCAGACATTGCCATGTGGGAATGTGCGTCTTCCAACTTTTCTTTTTTTTTTCTTTTTTCTTTTTTTGGTTCTGGGAATCAAACTCAGGACCTTGCACTTGCCAGGCAGGTGCTTGTGCCACTGAGCTATATCCCCGGCCCCCAACTTTTCAAGAGAATCACAAATCCAGGGGTGCACACCTTAATCCCAGCACTCAGGAGGCTGAGACAGGAGGATCGCTGTGAGTTCGAGGCCAGCCTGGGCTACATAATGATTTCAAGGCTGGCCTGAACTACATAGTGAGACCCTGTCTCCAACACCCTCCCCCCAAAAAAAGCCAAAACAAACAAACAAAAAATCACAACTCAGCCAGGTGTGGTGGTGCACACCTATAATCCCAGCACTCTGGGAGGCTGAGCCAGAAGGATTGCAAGTTTGAGCCCATCCTAGGTAAGATAGTGATTTAGCAAGACACTTTCCAAAAATTAGAAAAAGCCTGGAGATACAGCTCAGTTCCAAGGGCCTGGATTCAACCTCCAGTAGTCCCCCCAAAAAAGACTCAACCCTGTGCAGTACTTTAAAAAATTCTCCATGAAGCAAATAGAAACTTGTCTATGGGTGGAATTTAGCTAGTGGACCCCCGGTTCACACCCATTGAAGATAAGAATAGAGAATCCAGTTCTCATTCCCCCCAGTCCTCTCTCACAATCTCAGCATGATACACCTTTCATACGGGCCAGATGTTCTTGCTGCCGGGAGTGGTGGCGCACGCCTGTAATCCCAGCACTTGCAAGGCTGAGGCAGGAGGATCATTGCGAGTTCGAGACCAGCCTGGGCTACAAAGTGAGCTCAAGGTCAGCCTGAACTGCACAGCAAGACCCTCCCTTAAAAAAAGACCAAAAAATGGCTTTTAGGGATATCAAAGTAATCAGGTTTAACAAGCTTAATGAGGTAAAGAGGAATTAGGAACTTTATCCAGGTTCTTTTATGAGTACAGGAAAGGGCCTAAGACAGAGTTAACTTTTTTTTTTTTCCGGTACCAGTAATTGAACTCAGCATCGCGCTTGCCAGGCAGGCGCTGTGCCGCTGAGCTAAATCCCCAGCCCCAGACAGAGTTAACTTCTAAGAGGGAATGATCATTTTTGGACCATTAGAATGTCAGGGCAGTAACTGATTATTAGAGATAAGGGAACCCATAACTGGATTTTGATGTGATGAGTGGCCCCATAAGAAATACAAGCACCACTGTGGCAATGGCGTGTAGTCCACTTGTTCACTTTAAAGTGGGACCAGCGAAGGAATTATGGGCACGTGCCCAGAGAGAAGCAAGACAGGGTGGACATGTGTGAAATGTCGCTGATCTCCTTCCCTTTGTGGTCCTGGGGGTTGAATCCAGGGATGCTCTACCACTGAGCTACATCCCCAGATCTTTTTATTTATTTATTTATTTATTTATTTATTTAGAAACAGGGTCTTACTAAGTTGTTGAGGATGGTCTTGAACTTGCCATCTTCCTGCCTCAGCCTCCTGAGCAGCTGGAATTACAGGTGCGCCACCATGTTCAGTCTCTTTATCACTTAAGGACAGAAGGAACTGGGATAGGTAAAGGCACTCAGTACCTACCACATGCTGGACAGAGTGACCAAGATCAGGTAGACTGATTTAATACTAACAGAATTTAAGTCAGGCGTGGCGGCACATCCCTCTACCTCAGCACTCAGGAGGCTGAGGCAGGAGGATCGCTGAGTTCAAGGCCAACCTGGCCTACAAAGTGAGTTTAAGGCCCACCTGAACTGCATAGCGAGACCCTGTCTCACAAAGACAAAAGACAGAGACAGAGAGAAAGAGACAGACAGAAAGAAAGAAAGAGAGAGGAAAGAAAGAAGAAAGGAAGAAGGAAGGAAGGAAGGAAGGAAGGAAGGAAGGAAGGAAGGAAGGAAGGAAGGAATGAAGGAAGAGATTTTATTAGAAACAAGTCCTGCCCCTTCCTTGGAACAGCCAGTCCTACCCCCGGCTTAGTTACCGCTCTTCGCCAGTGAGTACCAAGTACACTCAGAACTGCTTTAGTGCTGCCGAGCACGCAGAGGGGTCAGAAGCGGCGCACAAACGCGCACTCAAGGCGGCTGAGGGAGCATCCTGGGAGCGCTTTCCCTGGGGTCCCCGGAGCATGCTGGGAGCCAGGGGCCAGCGGCTGAGGACATGTGCTTCCGTGTGCTGTGCAAGCGCGCCTCACCTGTTTACAGCAGGTTGGCTTTCGTTAGATAAAGTGGCTTCCGCACAGACGGCTTTTGAGTAAGAGTAGAGCCCGGAATCCCTCACCTGTGCTTAAACTCTGGACGTCAGCAGCGACTTTAGAAAAGGGAGAGGCGAGGGAGCGTGAGCCTCGAAGAGCGCCCCCTGCAGGCCTGGGCACGGCTTCGACTTCCACCGGAGGGGCGTCGAGAGCCCCCGCGCCGCCCCGCCTCCGCCCGGCAGATAGGCAGGGCCGCTGCCCTGGGCCACCCTTCTGCAGCACGCTTGGCCCTGCACAGTCTGTCGCCCTCTTTCTCTATGCCTGGGGCCCGGCCGCTCGCTCTGGCCACTTGATGAAGGCCTAGTTCTCCTGTCCTTCCAAGAGATGTTGCCATCTCTCAGAAGCCGAGGCAAAAGCCCATTTTTCCCTCTCTCTTTCTTTTCTAAAGGTACAGATCATTCCCACGGGGCCGAAGGGAAGAAAGAGACCAGTAGCCTACAACACAGATCTCCATGCCCCCTCGAACCTATTTGTGCAGTTAACTGACTGAGCAACACACGTCCCAAGCTTTCTTTTTTATTTTATTTATTTATTTTGTCTTTTTGAGGCAGGGTCTTGCTCTGCAGTTCAGGCTGGTCTTGAGCTCACTTTGTTGCCCAGGCTGGTCTTGAACTTGCAACGATCCTCCTGCCTCAGCCTCCCAAGTGCTGGGATTACAGGCGTGTGTCACCCTGCCCTGCTATCCCAAGCTTTCTGGGGCTGTAAAGTGTGTCAGGGAACCCTAAGAGAGAAGGATCCAGGGGTAGGCAGCCCAAAGTTTCATGGCCCCTCCTACCCCCAAATTCCTGGAATCAGAAAATGTAGTCTTCCAAAGTAGGTCAGCTCAGCAGCAAGCGGCTCCTCTGGAAGGGAAGGGAGCAGAGGCCTCGTCCTGATAGAAGGCGGTTTCATCCAGGGCTGAGCTGCGGAGCCCGGGGACATGGAGGGAGGGGACGTGGGAGACCACACCGGCCTTCTTGCCTGGGACCTGAACGGACTCAGGGCCACAGCGTACCGCTACCCTGACACCGGGCTGTGCCGGCCCTCTGGCCGCTGGGAAAGAGGCCGTCAGTCCCCAGACCTAGAAAGCACCTCCCTCCTGGAGGAGGGAAGAGGGGCCAGGGCCTGTCGGAGAGCCTTGAAGCTGCCCCAGGTCCTGGGCCCCATGACCTCTGGGGCCTTGGCTTCCCCGCCGGCTGGCGGAGGGCTGGGCCTTCCCGGGCCCCTGCCCCCTTCCTCCCTGCTCCTCTGCCCGCAGGCCCATCCATCTCCCTCCCTCTCTCTCTCCCTCCCTCTCTCTCTCTCTCTCTCTCTCTCTCTCTCTCT